TTCCAGATCTTTCAGTTCCTTTACCTTATTTTTTTCTTTTCCATTTACTTCCCATTTAGGGTTCCATTTACTTGAATACTCTAACCATATTTCATATCTCAGCCGTTGCTGCTCCAGAACTTCTTGAAGAAAACTTTGTTAGTTTTCCTTAAAAAAAACCCTCATTTAAAGTAAGACACGAGCAATCCCGCATCCCAGGCAGTAAATACAGTAAATTTCCTTAAAAAAACTCATTTGAAGTAAGACACGAGCAATCCCACATTCCAAGCAGTAAATAAATACCTTTCGGCGTCAGCATGCCCTGCTTCAAACCTTTGAAAACTTTCTTAATCAGTAATGTTTAAATGCCACTTCTATATCGTAAATATTGCTTGAGAATGATTTTTTGAAATTAAGATTTATTCTCTGGACGAAATTATAGTAATAGTTTTTTTACTCTGTCGTCGACATAAACAGAAGTGTAGCCTGAGGTACCAATCATTCCTATAAGTGTCGACTTCCTCCCTTATAGTGCTCCTTTTTCAAGCGTATTCCAATTCTAAGTTCTTAATGCTTTTAAATTTTGCTTTCAAATTTTTTTATTTTGCTTTCATCTCAGCGCCTCATTTGCTTTGACTTCCCGTAGTACTTTTCTGTGTAATGCCAGTGGCAGCGGCTCAAATAGATATATGTTTACCTTTTCTCCTTCTTTCCTAGCAAGGCCAAAATGCGACGGATAATTGTTTTTTACGAGATTCTCAAATGTTATGCGAGAAATCAAAAAATGTATGGGAACAGAACGAAAATAAATGTTTTAATAAAGTCGTCGAACTATCAGCGTGAGCTATTTGGTTTATATGCATGCTGTCCCTGTATTTCAATAATATTTAAAAACAATAAAAGATTTAAAAATTTCTTAAATATATGAGATGGCTGTGAAGGGGATCAAAATTTTTGACATTATCTGTTAACCCGTCTCGGAATTGACCTGAAATATTGTTTTTGGCGATTCTTCGAGCTCAGTGTGGGTATAATGTCACGAGATTGCGCAGCAGTCGTATTTGCAATTCTTGCTGTGAGGGCAGTGACATAATAAAAATATACTCATCATAGCTTTGTACAGGGTTCGTTCTGAGTGCTCAGCGAAAATAGAGCCTATAAATGCCACTCCTTACAGACCAAGTCTATTTATTGTTTTCATTCGATTTCGTATGCTGTCAAACGCTAGCAAACCGACAGAGTGAGACAAGTCGTTTTTCAAACGTTGCTTACTCTTTATGTCCTAACACCTCTGCCTCTCCATACAAACTGCAAATAAGAAAGACAAGTAATGACGACGTTTCCCACAAATTTTTTGAGAGTTATTTTATAATTTCGTTTAGTTTTATTTCTTACTTTTAAATCTCATACTGTTTCCGATCGTTACGTACCTTTCGCTAGCCAAATTAAGTAGAGGTGCTAGCCACTAAACTGCACCAACATAATCTTTTATGCTCTCGATAAGAACCCAGCAAGAAAAAGTAGATCTCTAAAGGTCCTGTGAAAATACTATGTGATGCAAGATGAGGTTGTAATAGGTAAAAGAATAATATCAGTTATAGACTTCTATGTTTGATTAAAAATAAGTTTAGCATCTTGCGGGTCCTTAGATTTTGCAAATTATTTGTCCTCTACCGCAAAAAGTCCGGGTGATATTTGCTGAGCAAATAGTGGAAACTAAATAAATTGACGTTCACAGAAGGTGAAACTTTTCTGCTCTCAAAAAATACAACAGTTACAACCAGTTTCGCTTAAATTTCCATTTCAAATAGAATCAAGCTCTCCAATATTAGTATTAACGGTGGAGAGAATTTTAAAAACTCAAACTTTTCTTTCCGTTTGCTGAATTCAAAAGTCAACTGTGCGACTCCCAAGCCTTCACCTGCAGATGAGCTGTAGGGAGATATGGAGAACAATGGAGTTGCTATTTACTGCAGATAAAGCAGCAGTAAATGCTTGCAAGTAATTCTCCGTCAAACACTATTCCTTCCAAAATAAACATCTGTAATTAACAAGATTTCCTGATTCAGTTCAACACTTTTTTCATTTTACAATTATATATTCATAAACGTTTGGGATGAAATTCCAGTTCATCACAAGAAGCTTAAAGAAATCTGCAGTAGTGCACTGACTACCAAAAACAACCAAGGACAAACTAAAATTTCTGATCGGGGAATGGTATACATCAGAAATAGCTGGTGTTTCTCCTTTGTCCTAAAAATGGGTGGTGAGTTTTTCAAAGCAGGAAGGAAGATGAATTACTTAAAGATGAATCATTTATTGATTGGTAGTCTTATCACATCCCATTCAAAGCAAAAATGATAAACTAGTAATATTAGGCGCAAATTTTGACGCCTCACTAATCACTATGATGCAGAACAATCAGTATCCCAAGGAACCAATGTGACGAAAAAATCGCCATTGCTCCTTTATATCATGAAGTCGAAAATTTTAAAAAGGCAGCATTGCAGCAACAACACACGGAGAATCTGGCAGAAACAAGAGTTATGTACATTAATAATATAATAATCTCTTCAAACATTCAAAATGCTGTTGTAACGAACAATGGCGTCGCGACAACCAACAGCAAATAACAATATGATATCATTAAAAAGTAAAAACTGAAATGAAGGAAAAAAAGTTTAAAATAACGTAAAACTTTTTCTTTGTTGAATTCATCGGCAACTAAGCATTTGGCTTGCTACAGCAAATATATATATTCTTAAAAACCTGACTAGCACTATGGGTTCCAAGACCCGTCACCTGTAGATACCATACAATAATCGGCTTACGAAAACTCAAAATTTCAAATAAAAGCAAATTTTTTTTTGAATATTACTCCCAGTTTTTTCCAACCAAATCGTTTGAAGATAACGCTAATAGTCTGAAAATAAATGTTGTAATCTTTGCAGCAGAAAAAAACAAAAACAATGAAGGAAAAAAGAGAAAAGAACTGTTAGAGGAAGGTAGGTGAAATAAAGTGAGGGGAAAGAACAGATGAAAACTGCATTAATCATGGAATACTGTAAAGTACACAGATTACTAAAGGAAGTTGAAAGTAACAGTGAAAAGAAGAAAATAAAGAACAAAGCATTGTGCGTAACATGCAATATCCGTATATGTGAACCACTATCATATGTTTTTTTGATATTTCATCAATTCAGTAACGGCAGTACGTCTTTTTTACATCTTGTAATGAAAAGGACAATAAACAAGAACATGTCACTAAAGTATTTTGTTGATGATCCATCTTCAGACGAATAAATCTACCTACTTTCAACTTTAAGTTTTGCTTGACACTGTGCCGCACCTAACTGGTTTCGTATTGTTATGCTGTAAGTGCCAGCATTTGCAGGAGTAGCACGTGGAATTTCCAGTGTTGCTTTGCCGTCAACAACCGATAACTGTAAGAAAAAAGTGGCTATTTGTTTGACCAAAACTTTTTAATCTAATCGAGTAATCCCCTAGAATAGATTAAATATTGGTTATTCCTTTTTATTTCCAATTTTCTTCTTTCCTCCTTTTTTTCTTTAAATTTGTCAGCAAGTTTTTCTTTTTATACACTTTGTCAACAAATATGCCAAACCTTGTGGTCAAGACTATTATACAAAGGTTTGTTGTTGAACGACCATGCTACCGTTGGAGTCGGATTACCAGAAATTTCTGCTACGAGTTTTACAGTATGCCCTGCAAAACAACTATTTCCCCTTCAATGTAATCACGTGTTTTTAATAACGTATAGAAATGCCTGCTGCTCACGACAGTCTACTGTCTACATATTAACTTTTATACCTGGTCGAGCTGCAATATCTGTTAACTTTGAAATAAACTGAGGAGGTCCACTTGGCGCGGGTTTTGCAGGAATCTTTGGCGCTTTACCATTAGGAGTTGCTTTAGTAATAATGGCCGTTCGAGTACCGCCGACCCTTGCTGTAAAAATTATAGACTTTATAGACCTCAAATACAGCTATTTTCAAAAGCAAAAATAGTGCGGCGCACGGCTAAAAAATTGTTATTTAAATTCGTTTCTTCATATTTCTTATTTAATGAAGAAACTCACGCTGTAACACTAGGTTAGCTACTGTGGTGGCTTTTCCAGCTGTATTTACAGCTTCACATTTATATTCTGCTACATCCTCTTGATAACATTCAAGAATACGGAACACAGCTTCACCATTTCCTTGAAAAACTTCGTAGTATCTGCTCTTCTTAAGTGGTTCGTTATTTCTATACCATCGAATAGTTGGCTCTAAATGCTGCTGAGGTAAAACTTAATGTGTTTATTCTCTTCATTAAAATGACACTTGCTGTCATTTTAACCGCTCAGATATTTAGGGATTATTGCTCACCTGGCACTCCCGTATACTTCGCTCTAAATTCCGCTTGGCCACCTTCCTGTGCCACTACAGGTTGTATTTGCGTTTGGAAGCGTGAAGCTTCTAACTTTGGACCTGCTTCCGCTCCTTGCCCAGTCCTCGAGAGAATGACATTCAGTCGTGCTTTACTCCTTCAAAAAACTATATCACCAACTACCACAGCCTTGACTATAAGAATATAAATTTAAATGACTATAAAGATTTGCCTTGCTTCACCAGCCGTGTTCTTCAAAACACACTCGTAAATTCCCGTATCACTGGGAAGAATATTTGTCAAAGTCAAAGTTCGCTGGTTATCACTTGCCACCGCTAAGAAACGCTGATCATTTGGAAGTGGCTTTCCATCCTTAAGCAATCCGGTTACTTTTTCAACAGTTAAAGAAACACATCTAAAAATGATTGAAGTCAAGTAAGAACACCTTAAACCAAGTAGCATTTGGTGCAGGTGATCCGGTGACCGTGCACGTGAACTGAGCTGTTGTATTTTGCGGAGCTCGAATATCATTCATCCTCTGTTGGAAGTTTGGAGCTACACCACGATCAACTGCTGCGACGACTGTAAGGCTAGCAAATGACTCTACCGTACCGGCAACGTTTTCTATCCTGCATATGTACTCTCCACCATCTTCAGGTTTCAATTTACCAATACTCAACGTTGAACTGGTGGGTGTAGTTGTTATCTAAAAGTCAGCCAGATCAGATTCTTGATTTGTCAAAATGAATAGACCAAACTTATTAGTAAACGACATAGTAAAAACTTCAAACAAGAAATAATAAACTTTAAAAATTAAAAAGTATTAGTACATTGAATCCAAAACTTGGCTTAATTTCTACACCGTCTCTGAGCCATGTGACCTTCATCGGTTGCGCACCGTCAAAGTTGCAAGAGAACTTCGCAGAACGGCCACTTTCTGCTTGTACGGGCTTCAACTGCTGCAGGACATTCGGTGGAGCTTTCTGGGTTTGTCCCATTTTTGTAGGTTGCGGCTAAAGTAATGCTGATCAGACCAATCACTTAAATTTTTTTAAAGAAAATGATATTAGCTGTTAATTTTTCAGCGACATTCTGCACAAACGGACTACTGACAGTGTAAAACAACTTTACGTGAGCATTTTAGCAGTACATGCAGAATAACATGCTAAGTTTGAATTACCAAAAAAAGGATCTTAATTATTTGATTATAAAGTAAATAAAGTTTTGGAGTTAAATAAAACAGTTTCTTTCAGGAAAAAAAAGTGAACAATAAACTTATCTGTGAATCATCTCATCTATAAGAACTGTTTTCAATAAGAAACCATACAGAGAAAAAAATATCATACACGAATCATATGAAAACCCAATGTTCTCTCTCGAGTTCGAGGACTATACAAATAATGAGTATTTCTAACGGCCTCTCCACTTTCCTCCTTGAGATGAAATTTTTCGGTTTCAACCAAAAGACCTGCGGCGCTTTTTTCTGCATATTCCCGATAAGTTTGGTAAAATAACATATGCTAAATTATTCACGGCTCTTACAACCGCTACAAATTCATCATGCACACAATTACTATTTACGTATTTTTTCTATTTAAGAACAACAGACTTAAGAAAAAATTCAAAGCAACAAATATCAATTAACGAACACTTTGTACAGTTTAAACAACCACTGCATGCTGTTGCTCTCTTGCAAAGAGACTTCATCTATTTTTTTTACAGCTGCTATAATCAAACGAGGAAGAAACCTATTTAAACAGTATTCACAATCCTGCTTGCTTGCCGTTTCACGATTAACTAGAAAGTATAAAATCGGCAAGTACCGAATATTGTTGCCAAAAAAAGTAAAACTTTTGCATGCAACATCCAGACCCTTGTTTTAAATATTCAACATTTATCGTGCAGCAGAATACAGAAGACCGCAGATGGAATAGTCTTCCAATAAACAGAAGAGTAAAGACGGTTAGAAGTGTGAAGAAATAACAATAAAAATTTTGTTTGTTTTGCATTTCAGCAATATCAACTTTTTCGATGGTTTCCTAACTAAGTTTCAAGTTAATAGTGTAAAAAAACTGTCGTAAAAAATTAGATCAAAAATGCAAAAAGACATAAAGTGAAACTTACTTTTGATGGTATTGATGGCTCAACCACTTTCCTAAATTATTACCAGAAATTTATTCATACTTCAGAAGTTTCAATTTTTTACTGAATTAATATGAACAACTAACTGCGTGAAAGCATCTTAACATTAAAAAATTTTTTAAAGTTATTATTGTTGCCAAAACTTTATTAATGGACATTCTAATTTTAAAAATTAATGTTTCTAGGCACTTACTCTTTGACCACCGGTGGAATGTCACGAAGCGGTTCTGATTCAATCTTTGTTGTCTCCATTGGTTTTACCTGTTTCGGCTGGTATTTCTGTTTAATCTGCACCTGTTGTTTCGCAGGAATCGACGCCTGAAGTGTGGAAAAACTAAAAAATTAGAAAAAAAGTTTAAACTTTTTTTACTGCAACTAATCATTCTGATTTAGTTTGAGACTTCCACAGCAGTTCACCTCTGGAGGTACTTCTGGTTTCTGGACGACAGGAGCCAAGTGAGCTTTGTCTTTTTCAATCTTTACATGTTCAATTTCTTCAGGACGTTTTGGTTTTGCCGTTTTCAGTTGAATTTGGTCACGTGCAGGGACAGAAACTTCTGGTGCGACTTCCGGAAGACGATTGTACCTAAGCAAAGGCAATGAAGATAAGCGTTCTTTTCCAGTTACTGTTGATAAGAAGTTATGATAAAAACTTTGTTTTCTGAGAATGTTCAAAATTCAAACAAATTCTCAAAAACTAATGGAGCTGTCTTTTCTTGGCTCTATGATAGAACCCTTAAAAAATACGAAAAATTATGTGTTACATAAATTTTCTGTGTAACACAATTCAAAGAGACAATATTTTTGATAAACAAAATCAAAAACTAAAGTTGAAAACTTATTACTATCAGTACAAGACCTTGTTCCATTTAAATTCACAAAAGAAGTGATCACTTATGTGTTATACACTGCTTACATCCTTAATTTATAAAAGCTGAGCCACATAACTTTTAAAAATTCAAGATATTTTAAGCCAACCTTCCTTCCACATCTCCGAGCTTTTTGTCAGTTGCCCAAGATGGTTGTGGCACCATAGCTCCACTAGGAGGAATGACCTTTTCAGCTTTTGGAATAGCTTTCAGTTGAACACTTTCCATACTTTCTTCAGGAGGTTGATACTTTGAGGTCCGGCCAGGTTTCAGTGTCACTGGCTCTAATTCGAGACCCTTGTACGTCCCGCGCCTAGCTTCTACCTGGAAAAGCCTTCCTGGAATAAGTCAAGATATCGAAAGCTTTTCAACAATAGTTTTCGAGCTTAACAATCAAAAGAAGTGGTGCCAACCAAGCTATAAAACTATCGTTTCAGAGCTTTTTCTAAATAATTTCAATTATTCAAAACTCGACTATACCGTTAGTAAAACTTTCTGAAATCTCAAGCTTACGTAAGCCAACTGGTCACTTAGTCCACGTCCTTTAGCTTTTGCAAACTTCTCTTTAAGCTCCTCAGACTCCAACGACTCAAATTCCAGTTTTGCTTGCTCAACGCGCAACAACTTCTGTTGGTCTGGTTTTGGGGCCGTCTCAAATGCTTCACCAAGAGTGCCCAAAGTTTCCTATATTTGCATTACTGATTAAAAAGAAAAGTTAAAAAGAATACAATTTAGCGCTTGATACTTTTCACTAACTAGAGCATTATGCTGGAATCAGCAATAACAACCAAAGAGCTAAATAAATGTTTAAAACTTTATAGGCAGCCTCTATCTAGAGCAGAAGATTTATTTTAAGGAAAGATTGGTTAATACCCCCGAAACAGAATGGTTAAAGATAACAGTATCCAAAATCTGTTTTGCAATAAACCTTTTGCCATGTGACTTCCCTCGCTTGCAACTCATCAGGAGTTTTAAAGATAGTTGGCTTTAGTTGAATATGGCGGAAATCTTTCTTTTGGAATACATCGAGCATACAAGATGCAAGAACCTCACCTTCTGTATTCTTGGCAATAGCAACGACCTTTAGTAAAAAAAAACATTTAAATAATATAAACATTCTGTAAAAAAAATATATATAGACAAATTGCATGTTTTCGTGCTACATACACAAAATTCTCACTTCTCCAGCATCCGAAATTTTGGTATTTGATATCGTCAGGTAGTACATTCCATCGTAGTTTAGCTTATAACGACGACCCTAGAATAAAAAGATTCAAGAAAAGAATACACGCTACAATAAAAAAACTGGGAAAGAAAATGTAAGAATGAAGTGCTTCTAGCGGTTTGAAAGAGTACATGAATCGCTTGGTTTCCGTTGATGTACCAAATAACTTTTGGTTTCGGATTTCCAATAACAGCACATTCAAAACGCGCTGGCTCGTTTTCGACGCTCTGAAGGTCTCTCGGTTTGACTGTAAACTGCGGCGCTTGCTTTTCACGAGGCTGTTCAGTAGTTTCTTCAGACCTATAAATTGAAAACCTCGGTCTTTTCAAGAAATAGAACATAAAAGAGCTTTTTGAAAGGTCAACTGCAAGTGATATCAATAAGAAGCTTTTCTAAACCAACCAGTAAGGCTGATCCCCTAAATTTTTGACGTCAGCAACCAGAACACCCTGTGGAAGTTGGCTTTCTGTAATAATGTGCTTCTTCCCAGCGCAAGCGAGGTTTGCTGAAGTAATTGCCTGACCATAACGATTAGTAGCTACACAAGTGTATTCTCCAGTATCGTCAGGTAAAGCATAAAGAACATCAAGAGACGCAAATCCAAAGTCCAGTGTTGATCGAAAACGATGTCCTGAAAACACATTGACAGTATTTTAAGCAAAACAAAATTTTTATACGTTACTCATGACTCAGTACCAAAAATTTATAGACATCATATAAAATGTCATTAAAGACATTTTGTTAAACTAGCCTACGATTTCTACTCTTCCTGTAAGAATTACCTATTAACACTGGTTTTTTATCCTTATACCATTCAACCTTCATATATGGATCGTTAACTGGAGCAATTTGTGTTTCAAAGCGGCAGTAATCTCCTTCCTCAACACCAACGTTTGTCATCTTTGTTTTAAATTCAGGAGGCCGTTTCAATGCCTCAACGTAAGCATCATCCTTCGATAATGCGAGAACAGCTCTCGTATGCATTCTCAAATGGCTCTCCAAATTCTCAATATTAGAGCCAGGTGCTTGAGGCGAAAATTCGAGAGCTGGTTTCGGAAGCACCTAAAAAGTAACTTGATGACTGAGCAACAAGCTGATAATTTCTAGATAGGAAGTACAAAATCGGATTTTAAAAAAAACTGCTGTTTTAAAAACTGATCGCCTGCCACGGTATTCGATGAAAAAATTCAATCAGTTGACAATAATTTCTTTTGATTCTTTTGTTTACCTGTATTATGGATTTGGTGGAAGCTTCTCCCATATCATTTACCACAATACAATTGTATTCTCCACTATCTTCGGGATATGCGTATAAAATATCCAGAGTAACAAACCCAAATTCAAACGAAGGTCTAAACCTAGATGCTTCTAGCAGTGGAACGCCATTTTTGAGCCAATGTACAGATAATTTTGGATCATTGCTAGGAGCTACGCGGCACTCAAGGTGAACTGATTCTCCCTCCTAAAAAAGAACCTTCTTAAAACACGTTCTAAGACAAGAGAATTTTACGCAACTAGAAGCAAAAAACTACCTGAACTTCTTCTATCCTTTCAATCAATGGTTCAATAACACTAGGTGCTTCAATCTCGATACTAGTTTCAACTATGATATGTCCAATCGTTTCAGCCTCTCCTTTGCTATTACGTGCAAAACATCTACAACGTTTTTTTCGTTTACAGGAAGAGTGCACCTCAATAAAAGCTGATCAATTTAATATTGAAGATGTACTTGTATTCCCCAGTATCCTGAGCAATCAGGTGTTTTATTAGCAAAGTGACGACCCCAAAATCATTAGTCATTTGAATTCTGTTAGAGTAAGGAATTGCATGACCGTTGTGTTGCCACTCGATCTTCAACGAAGGGTCACCGATTGGTTCCAAAACACAGGTAAAAGCAATTGCGTCAGCTTCTTTCAACTGAAAAAGTAAATTTCAATACATTTTTAGACCGAAAACGAACACAAGTGAAAAAAATTACCTGTAACAAACACCTGTATAAACATTACAATAATTCATCTAATTTTTTAGCTGGTATTTTTAACTGTAAGTCGGTAGTCTTACTTTTCCAAGATCCTGAAGTTCAGTACTAAATCTGGGAGCTTCGTATTCTCTAGATGGTTGCTCAAAGTACTCTTTTGGTCTATGAAGCCAGTCTTCTAGCTGGTTAATTCTTTCCTTTCTCTCACTACTACTTTGCCAATCGTAAACAATTCCACTCATTCCCTTTACCTGAAAAAATATTATTAACTTTTTCAAGCATTTTGAGATGTTCAACGCTACAAAAAAATTAAAAGGTAAATGTTATATATCCTTACTTCGCAAAAATTGAAATTTTTTTGAAGCTTTTCAAAATTACTAAATAACAAGACTGTTGCAACAACAACTTTAACTTACAGCAATTTTACAAGACACTTCTGCTTCACCACGAGCATTCGTTGCTCTGCAAGTCCACGTTCCGGTGTCCTGAGGCTCAACAGGTGAGAGTTCGAGGACGACAAATCCAAAATCGTGGATATTTTTCATCCTTGAAGAATGAGCAATAGGTTTACCGTCATGTAACCACTCAATTTTCAATCTAGGATCGCCTACGGGTTCGACTTGAACCTCCAGATGAGCCACTTGCCCTTCAATCAAGTCTGAATGATCCTGAAAAAATTTTAGCAGTAAAAGCTAAACTAAGACCCATTGCGAAAGACAGACGTCGAGTAAGTGAAAGTGGAGCACAGTATCTTTTAAACAACCTCTCTAATAAACATTTAAATATTTATTTCCAAATACGCTAATTTTAGTTCAACTCTTAAAAAACAGGCACTACAAATTAAAAATTGCAGGTCTCAACCTGCAGCTGAGATATGAAAACTGGTGGTCCATAATCCATATCAGCTCTTTCAGGAGGTGGAGCTTTTGGAGCCTCTAGCTCAGCGATTCGTCTTTGAGCATCGGACATACTTTCAGGCAGTTGTGACGTTGTGATTATTGCACGTTTAGCAGTACAAGTAAGCTGAGTACTAGTGACAGCTTCTCCAACCTTTAACAAGGGTATTACATTACTCGGAGAAGTAGTCGTCAAAGTCACTAATGAAAAGTGATTGCCCGACTGTTATTTTCTAGAACAAACCTGTATTTATACCATACTTGTTAACTACTCTAAATTTACCTTATTGAATGCTCTGCATGTGTACTCGCCGGAATCTTCCGGGTAAGTAGGCCATATCTCCAGCACAACAAAGCCGAAATCGTTTATTGTTTTCACGCGACTACCTGTCTTCAAGGGTTTACCGTTCAAGAACCACTGAACCTGAAATTAAAAAAAAGCTTCTTGCTGTTGAAGTAATAAAAGGTTGCCACTAATTAACAAATCTGAAATGCACGTCTTAAAAATTCTTAATTTTTTATGTACCCAACATCCCGACTGGGGCAGAAAAATCCGTGAAACTCTGAAATACCTGGAGTTGGTTGTCGTTTAGCGGCTCATAGCGAGCTGAGAAGTGTGCCCTATCTCCCTCGTCACATGTCACTGGTGCTGTTAACGGTTCTATAAATACTGGCACAGTTTTCTGCTCTTCTTTAACAACTTCTTCAGGCCTGCGATGAAGCATTTCTTCCAAATCTTCTACTGCCCGAGCTTTATTTTCATCCTAAATGTTAGATAAATAAGAAAACCGGCTTAAGCCGAAAGAAAAATTAATAAGAGGTTTTCTACTACAGTTTAGAATAAATTTGAATTTTTAAATATAAAACAGTCCTCCTAATTTACAAACAATTTACCTGTGTTTCCAGGAGAAGGCTCGCTTTTGTAGCTACATCCAAAACAACTGAAGTCTCTGCTACGCCAGCATCATTACTAATTCGTACAGTGTACTTGCCAGAATCCTGGTAAAATTAATTCCCAAAAAAAACATAATTTAAAATTTTTGAAATGATTAAAAGTGGGTAATTTTTTGGTAAAAAAGCACTCACTCTAGTTTGCTAATTTGTATTTTCCTTTAAAAGAAGCATTACGAAAAGTGCATATTTGAATTTTTTTTCCAACTTATCAAAGGTGTTCTTTCTTCCAAGACTGACAGAAATAATTTTGCTTCCAATATGAATTTTTTGCAGTTTACTGTTACGTGTAAAACCTGTGCAAAAAGATGAAGAATATCCAAAATGGCAAATCCAAAATCCTGAATCATCTTGTAACGATTGGCGTGGAATAATGGTTGATCATTTTTGAACCATTCCACTTTCAAGTTCGGGTCATCAACAGGCAAATACTGGCACTCAAGATGGACACTCTCACCCTCACTTATACCACTTTGTTCGGAGAGATGTGCTACAATTTGAGGGGCATCAAAGATCTGAAATTGAAGATTTTTTGCGATTATGCCAGACAATTACTTTTCTATAAATAAATGGCAAAACTTAAATAAACAAAGCTAACCCTAGGAGGTGCTTCTTCTGGTGCAGGTTTTACAGCTTCAATTTCTCGTATACGGTCCAGACTTTGAGGTTGGAGAGAATTCAAAACTATGCTTTCTTTTCCACTAATATTTAAAGTCGCTGAACAGGTGGCTTCACCCATAGCATTTGTAGCTACACAAGTCCACTCCCCAGAATCACGTGGTTCTGTCTGATTAATATCCAAAATAATCCACCCAAAATCACTGATCATTTTGACACGTGAGCTAGCAGCCACAGGTTCGCCATTCAGGTACCTAAACGTAAATTTTATATCTTTTTTAGTTCTTCTCAGATCTTCGTGAGGTAAAGTGTCAGCATTCAAAAAAACATACCATTGCACAACTAGTTCTGGGTCATCAATAGGTTCCAACGTCGCTTCAAAGTGAGCTGGTTGACCCTCGCTTAAATCACCAAAACTTTTAATCTCTGTTATAAATTTAGGTGGAATTTTGGGCGCTGGAGGAAGTTCAGGTACTGGCGCTTTTGGCGCCTCAATTTCCTAAAGCTAGCCAGTTGTAAAAATTATTGCAAACTTGAATTAAAGCAATACGACGTGCAAGTGTTTTATTACTTGTATTCTCCTCCATGACTGTTCATGTTGAGTATCTGTCAGAATTGCTTCCGTGCTGTGACATTTCAGTGTCGCACTAGAAACAGCTCTACCACTTTCATTAACAACTTGGAGCTGGTATATACCCTAAAATGCAGTCACATTGTAGCAAATTTTTTGTCCATTTTTTTTTCCATTTTTTGTCCATAGCATTTGTCCATTAAGTGAAAAACGTAAAAGAACCACAAAAAAAAACCTCGTCTTCAGGATAAGTGTAGCCGATGTCAAGGGTGCAGTAACCAAGATCATGAGAAATCGCGAATTTAGAACCGTGAGCTAGAGGTTGACCATTTCGAAGCCAAGTTACAGTGAGTTTTGGATCATTTACAGGGGCAATAATGGCTTCAAAGTGCGATGGCTCACCCTCTCTGCATTCAATATCCATGATCTGTGTTTGAATTGTTGGAGCATCGTATACAACTGGTGCGGGTTCTAAAAATAAAACTTATTTAGTAAAAACAATAAAGCAAAATCAACTTAATAAATAGCTTCTTATAACCTGGAGTTTTCTCTCGAGGAGCTTCTATTTCTTGAATACGTTTCCAAGACTCTGCATGACTGGTTTCAGTCAAAACATCACCAATTTTGGCAACCTTCAATTGGATCATACTTTAAAAATTTTGCAATCAAAGTACATAAAATTACTCCCTGATGGTTATCCCTACGCTTTTTTTTAGTCTTCAACGTTACAGACATCTACGCTTGAAAACGTATGAGTCATTTCTAGACAAAGAAAAAATCGATGAATTTTTCCAAATTTTTTAAATTAAGTTCGTTGTGCTTGTAGTGGTCAGGTCTTTGAAAGACCTTAAAAACTTTGAAGTACCTTGATAGATGCGGATGTTACGGCTTCTCCCTCGCTGTTTACAACCTTCAATGTGTAAACGCCATTATGATCAACGTTAACACCGTTGATATCCAGTGCTGTCCAGCCTAACTCGCTCCTTATCCTCACCAACTGACTAGCGCCAATTGGCTCATTGTTTTTCAACCAAATCACCTTGAATAAACATCATCTTATCTGAGTTGAAGTAATTCCAGAAAAGGTCAACCAATTTAAAAGAATAGCTCAATTACAAACTTTCAGGTCAGGGTCGCGTGCAGGTTGGAACGTTGCTTCTAAATGGACAGAATCTCCTTCTGTAATGCCGTCATAAGATTCCAGTTGAGACAAGAAACGTGGTTTTTCTTTTTGCACAACTTCTTCAACCTCTTCAACTATGACTGGAGCTTCGAGAACCTGTATTTTTTCCCATGATGCTGGATGTTGAGTGTCTCGAAGAATAGCCTCATAACCTGCAACTCCAGATCGTTTTACTATTGAATAACAAAAATAAAATGGTTCAAAAAGTAAACTTTATAACAAATTAGAGCAGAAATTTTGCGAAAAGTAGTTAGTTGTAACGTCGTTGAAGATTCAAATAGAAGTTTGTCATATTTCTAGAAAAACAGCTGGTAACAGGCAGTAAGTGTTAAGTTATCACTGCAACTTTATTTTCAAAAAGTCAAAGTTTTCTGAAAAAATTCTGATTTCTTAAAAAAGTATTACATTATAACTAATTTAAGGTTATCCTCAAAAATGTCTGATAATTTGGTGAGAAAAACAGTTGTAAGTGCAGAAAAACCGCAATAAAATTAGCAAAGTCAACTTTTATAAATTTTTTGAATTTTACTACCAGATTAAGCCTTGAAAATTGAATTAAAGGATTGCAATAAGCTGTAAAAAATATCTGCTATCTTGCCTGCTACTTTAACTGTTGCACTTGTTGATGCTTCGCCGTAACTGTTTGTTGCCTTACATGTATACAAACCAGAGTCTTGAGGTAAAACGTGAACAATTGTTAAAGACACGTTGCCGAAGCTGTTTTCATGACGGTATCGATTAGCTGAAAGTGTATACAATTAAGAATGCTAAAGAAGGAAAAAATAAAAAAGTGGTTTCAGGTTACACTTACAGTTTTGAAGTGGTGCACCATTATGGAACCATTCAACTTTCAAATTAGGATCTTCTGCAGGTTCAATGAGACCATTTAAGAAAACAATTTCTCCTTCTTGTAAATTATCAATATTGTCAAATGATTTTGTCCATACTGGCTTAGTGTATTCTGCTTCTGGTATTTCCATTTTCGGATACTTGTCCAAAGATTCCAGTTGCTGGATTTTTTGTAAAGATTCTGGATGCTGAGTTTCCATTTGCAAATTGTCTTCTCCTACATCATTGCTTACATGTCTTTGGGACTTTGAATCAATCATATACCAATGCATAATCAATTATTTCAAGACTAACCAACAACGGTAATAGAAGCACTGGTTATAGCAGCTCCTTGCTCATTTACCGCTTTACATGAATATACGCCGCTATGTCGAGTATAAACAGGCGCAATACGAAGAGTGATACATCCAAAATCGTTTGTCATAGTGTACCAATTACTTTGCTGCAGCGGTGAGTCGTTGAGGAACCTAAATTACAGTAACTACAACCAGTAATCATAAATCTTTGATTTTTGTCGCGTATTCTCAAATTCTGTAGTTAAATTCACAATGAATGTCCTCATAAATTAAAGTAGATAGAATCTGCTACTTGACTACAAAAAATTGTGAGCACAAATTGTTTTTTTCTCAAAACAGAGCTACTATTACTAAAAAAGCACCATTGTATCTGAAGATTTGGATCGTTCACTGGAATTACTCGAGCTTCAAGTACAGCTACACCGCCTTCAACAAGATCAGCAATGCTTTGAAGAGGTTGCGTGAATGTCGGCTTTGCGTAGACTGGAGCGGCTGCAGGAGCTGGTGCTTCTTTGGGTGCTTCTATTTCCTACAAGAAGGGCAAAGTGAAATCTGATTCTGCAGAACAATACTGCCTTATCTTTATCTTTATATCAAGAATGTTAATGGTTAAGGTAAACGTTGAACATTCTTATTTAGAGTCAATAATAGGTCACCTGGATCCTACGCCAGCTTTCAGCGTGTTGCACATCAGAAATAATATTTGCACGAGCTTGACATTCTAGGCTACCTTCAGTTTTATCCTCACCAAAATCATTTCTTGCGTAACAACAGTACTGGCCAATGTCTTCGGGCAGTATATAATGAATGTCCAAAGTACACAGGCCAAAGTCACTACGCATTGTCATTCGGCTGCTTGCTACTAGTGGATGCCCATTATGATACCTGTAACTTCGCCACTCCACTGATAGTTCAACACAGTATGCTGAATAGTTTTTTTGGCAAAAACTCTTGCTCAGACGATACTGAGGAAAAAATCACGTTCTAATAAATAATGTTCTCTCCTAATTATTTCCCTGCCAGTAATATTTCACTGAAATGAAAACTTTGTGTATTCATTACCAAGTAATCTGCATCTTAGGATCGGAAATGGGTTCCAATAAAGTTTCAAAATGAGCAGGTTGGCCTTCAATGAGATCTGTCACTGAGTTGACAGGGCGAACAAATTTGGGCGGTTCTTGCGACACCGCTTGCTCATCTGACTTAGCGGGTTTTGGTTGTTCCATCATTTGAATTTTCTGCCAGCTTCTCTCATGTTGAACATCACCAAGAATAGCTAAAGCAGCAATGCTTTTTAGGTTTAAAAGAATGAAAAAAAGACAAAATTTTTCCAGTACTATTAGTTAAAGCAGATACAGCATTTTAAAAGTGTAAAACAAGCAATACATGTATACACTACCAGATTTTTCTTGCACTGTCAGCTGGGCAGAGATGCTATCTTCGCCTACACCATTGGTTGCAACAACAGTGTAAATTCCTGTATCCTCCGGTACAGTGTAGGCGATATCAAGAGCAACAAACCCAAAGTCGGCAGTATGTCGGAAGCGATTGCTGTTTATCAAAGGAGCTCCGTCTTTATACCAGCTTATCCGTAAATTCGGGTCGTTTATGGGAGTAACTCTTCAATTATTATCGCCATTTGGTAAGCACATTTAGATAAACATTTGGCTGTTTCATTCAAAAAATACTGCACTTACCTCGTTTCAAAATGGACAGGTTGATTTTCAATCCTTTCAATGGAATCCATTGTTTCAATAAATTTAGGACATTCTGGAGCTTTCTCTGGAATTTCTGGTGCAGCTTTCTTCGGAGCTTCAATTTCCTGTATACGCTGCCAGCTTTCAGGATGCTGTGTATCTTGGAATATGGAATCGTGACCAGTGATGGAGAAAGAAGTCGTTGACTCTGCCTGACCTGAAAAAAAAAGCGATTTTAAGAGGTAAAACCGATTCGCAAATAAAATTTCAAATCAATTTTCCTTTTTTCCTTAATTGACAACTCTTTGAAGTTGTTCGCTAAATACTACTGGTTTAAAAGTAAAACTGTACTGGATGAAACCTGCATAAAATAGCAAGAATAAAAGCCAGGCTTAGCAACTGCCTTCTGCCTTACCAAGTTCATTTCTTATGAGGCACGTCCAATCGCCGCTGTCTTCTGGGAAAGCGTAAAGGATATCCAGAGCAACGTATCCAAAATCGTGAGTAGTTCGGAAACGATGGCCATTGGCAAGAGGCTGTCCATTATGTAACCATTCAACAGTAAGTTTGTTGTCATTGTTTGGTTCAATCTGGAGAGATATTGGTTATAGCTCGTTTTTAAGCTTATTGATTAGCACTTGCATTATTCTAACTACCATTACCTGGCCCTCAAAATGGACTGGTGTGCCTTCCGCAAAGGCACCCATGTGCGACGGAAGATCAACAACAAAGTACGGAGCAATCTTATCTGGCTCTTCATAAATTGGTTCTTCAGGTCTCCTATTTTCTATTTCCTGCACAATATTCCATGACTCTTGGTGCTGAGTATCTAGTAAAAGGGCGTCCGTAGCTGAAAAAAAAATGTCAACACTTTTGCAGTAATTAGTTTTTCAATAATCACAGTAATAATAATAACAACAATCATGAAAAAGCAAAAAAGCACTGACAGCAAAAAAAGATTTAACTCTGAAAATTTTACCGTACTACAGCTATTGGAAAATGATATTTGAGAACAGCTAAACGAGACATACGTTGACATTTAATGGTACAAGAAGTAGCACTTTCTCCAAATTCACTTATGGCTCGACAAGTGTAAACTCCAGAGTCTTCAGCATATACAGCGAGAAGGTCAAGCGTAACATAGTCAAAGTTGCGAGCCGGCATAAATCGACTTCCTGTAAGGAAACATTTTCTTCAGAATGTTGGTACTGTGAAATGCCTAACAGAGAAAACATATGACAAAAGTGAAGAGTGAGCAAGAAAACAAAAACATTTTTCACACTTTGTCAATTTATCAAAGGAAAAATGCATTAAAAAGCTCCGTAGCTCACTTTCTGGATAATTTCAAACCTAATCTTTAAATTTTCTCTGAAGCTCTTGCAAAAGCATTGAGTGAAGCTGAGTAAATAGCGAAATGTCACCTTGTGGAACTGGTTGTCCGTTTCTCTCCCAAAACACTTTGAGTGAAGGATCATTAACTGGTTGAAGTCGACATTCGAGTCGAACGCTATCTCCTTCTTTCAGTCCTTCTACATTCTAAAGTTTTTCTTAAAGATATACTTTGAAGCGATAAACAATTTAAAAAGGACTTTGTAAAATTCAAAACTACGTGTTAAAATACTGATTTAGAATCAAAGATAAGTTGTGAGATACAGGCTCATACTGAGCTGCAGAAAAAACGGTCAAATGGTTTAAATACTTGTAAAGTTTCAGTAAAAGTTGGAGGCATAAATGTTTGGTCAGGTGATGGTTCTCTTATTTCTTCACGGTTTTCTATCTCTTGTATTCTAGCCCAAGACTCCGCATGCTGTGTATCCAAATAAATGTTTCTTAAGGCTGTAACAATCGAATACTAGCAACATTAACAAGTGAAGTGGTAATAAATTCAAAAAATACATAAAACTTGAATCATATGCACCAATGACTGTTTAACAAAGCAACGTGCTAGTTGTGACTAATGATTTCTTTCGTCAATATTAACAGTGTTAAACCGTTTCAGCCTACTGCTCTAAACTTTTCTTTGCAATATTCAAATTAATTTAACTAATTAATTTATAGATAAGCTTACGTTTGCACTGCAATGTAAACTCCGTCGTAGCATCTCCGGCAACGTTAACTGCCCTGCAAGTGTATGTGCCAGAATCTTCTGGGTGGATATGCAGAAATTCAAGACCAACGTATCCAAAATCATGCATAGTACGTATTCTTGATCCAAACAATATTGGATGCCCATTCAGTAACCATTCAATCTAGAAATTTATAAGATCTCGCATAAGTTAAACTAATACATCTAAAAAATAAATATTTCACTGCAATGAGTTCAAGTTCAAGAAATTACAGTGTACATAAAACCGAGAAAAGCACCTTGAGATTCGGGTCATTTATTGGTTGTACCATACAATCCATATGTACTGACTGTCCTTCCTTCAAAATGTCCGTAGGCCCTCTAAGAGGCTGAGTGAATACCGGGTGTTCTGGTACATATTCTTCATCCTCAGGTTTAGCAGGCTGCATAGCCTCAATTTCCTGTATGCGCCTAAGGCTTTCTGGATGCTGTGTTTCAATCAGAATGTTCTTCAGCAGCTGTACTTCAAATTCAGTGCTTGTCTCAGCACGACCTACACATAAACTATGAAAGTAATTCATCCGGTTTAACTCAACAAAGAAAGTGCAAAATTCACCTTCAGAATTGGTAACTATGAGTGTGTAAGTACCGGCATCTTCAGCAATGATAAAGTCAATATCCAGTGAAACAAAACCAAAGTCATTCATTAGTCGATAACGACTGCTAGCCTTCAGTGGTTGACCGTTATGGAACCATTCGACCTTAATGTAAAGTAAATATAAAAAAAGCAAATCCAATCCCATCCCTTTCAAAGAGCAAAAAAAGAAAATTGCTTTCTATAAGAATAAAATCAAAAAACTGGGAGTTTTCAAAAGCTGCAAGCAGATACTAAATAGTACTGATTTAACAACAAAACCTTCAGCTGGTTGTCATCGATAGGCAGTATTTGTGCTTCTAGATGTAAAGTTTGACTTTCGTGAACTTGGTCAAGTTTTGGTGGAAGGGGTCGTACAATTTGTGGAGCAGCCGGTGGTGCTTCTGGAGACTTTTCAACTTTTTGCAGCGGTGTTTCCAGTTCTTGGATACGTTGAATTGAATTTGGATGGAACGACTCAGTAACCTATATTGGCA